GCATTCAATATGCTGCTGCCTAACCATGTACCAATTCTATTGCCAAAAAACAGTCCCAGTTATAACTCTACGCCCTTTATCTTCACTCGGGAAACTCAGCAGAATGAAAGTGAATAATGGTGAAAGTAAAACAGAGATCATATTGAACCTTTTCTAATACATATATAAAAGTAAATCATTTATAAAATTAGTTATTGCTATGGTCTGAATGTTTATGCCTCCTCCCCCCACTCACCCCCATTATAAGTTGAAATTTTAACCCTTAACATGGTGGGATCTTTGGGAGGTGATTAGGTCATGAGGGTGGTGCCCTCATGAACGGGATTAATGTCCTCATAAAAGAAGCCCTAGAAATCATCTTTGGCCTTGCCACTACATGAGGACACAGCAAAAAGGCACTGTCTATGAGGAAGTGAGTTGTCATAAGACACCAAATCTGCTGTGGCCATGATCTTGGACTTCCCAGCCTTCAGAACTATGAGAAATAAGTGTTTGTTTTTTTCTAAGCCACCTAGTTTATCATATTTTTGCTATAACAGCCCAAACAGACTAAGACAGGTATGTTATTATTAGTAATATCTTACCAGCATCAAGGATTCTAGAACAGACTACCTGGGTTTGAATCTCAGCTTTGCCTCTTATTAGCTGTATGACTTAAATTATTTGGATCTCAGTTTTCTCCTCTGTAAAATAGTGATAATAATAGCCCATTTCATAGAATTGCTGTAATGCACTTAGAATGGTACATATAGTATGGCCAAATCAGTGATGACTAAACCAAATGTACAAGCAAAATTCACATACGATTGTGGCAATGAGATGTTGCATCATCTGAATACTGCCCTCTATTCTAAAGAACAAGCTTACATTTAGGGTCCTGTAATATTTATGCTTTTTATGGCATAAAATTATAATAACTTTATGAAATAAAACTATAATAATTATATTAAAAACAAACAAACAAACAATAAATGGAGAGAGAAGAGGGTCAATGAGCTTCCAAGGAAAGACACAGGATTTGGAGTTGGCAGGTCTGTTCTGAGTCTACAGCCAATTCAGAGACACTCTCAGAACCTGTCTCCTCATCTGCAAAATGAAGAAGACATCACTTCTGCCTTGGTATCTAGTGGTGATTTGAGGACCTAGTACCATATTGATATAAAACCATATCTACTCCTAATTTGCTCCTTCTATTACTAATAACAATGAGTTTATATATGACATTTTCTGCCTTCTCACTGATTTCCTTGACATATCACCAATACCCAGGTATTTGAAAATATGAACAGCTTTCAATATTGTTTTATTCCCTGCAACATGCTAAGAATAAAACAAAATTTACTCCTATAAGGATCGGGATCGAGAACCCTTTGAAATTCAAGACAAGGTGTAAATTGCTGCAAAGGGTCTCTTTAATTGGGATCAAAACATTTTTGACAGCTTTGGATTTTAAAATTCTAGCTATTGTCGCACTTTACAAATGTTTCTTTTCTTGGTTAAAAAAAAACAACTGCAGTCAAGCTTGAGCAGGAATACTTTAGATATGATAAACAACTAAAATAGGTCATTCCAAATGACAAATATCCAGTTTTCCATTTGATGGGACAAAAAACTTAACTTACACTCTTATTCTGCAGAATT